TGGTCTCTTTTAAAGTGTTCTGTTTGTGTGTGGAGAGTTACTCATGAGTAGGCTGGCCGTTTTTCTGGTTTTATAGTAAATCGTCAGTTGTATCCTCTGATTTTTTTCTGTAGGGATAACGTTTCTATTAACAATATCTTTCAGGACCCTTTCCTCCGTTTTATGAGCTGTGGAAAAGAAATTCCTGTAAAATAGTCTAATAGGGGGTATAGGTGTTGTGTTGGTTGTCTCTTCAAAGGTTGCATGGCGTTTCACTTTCCTTTTTATGATGTCTTCGACGAAACCATTGGAGAAGCCGTTGTTGACTAGGACCTGCCTTACCCTACAGAGTTCTTCGTCGACTTCCTTCCATTCTGAGCTGTGCCTGAGAGCACGGTCGACATATGCGTTAACAACACTCCTCTTGTACCTATCTGGGCAGTCGCTTTTGGCATTTAGGCACATTCCTATGTTCGTTTCCTTAGTGTAGACTGCAGTGTGGAAACCTCCGCTCTTTTCCATGACTGTTACATCTAGAAAGGGCAGCTTCCCATCCTTTTCCATCTCGTAAGTGAAACGCAGCACGGAACTCCGCTCAAATGCCTCCTTCAACTCCTGCAGATGTCTGACATCAGGTACCTGTGTAAAAATGTCGTCAACATACCTGCAGTATATGGCCGGTTTCATGTTCATGTCGACTAAGACTTTTTGCTCGATGGTACCCATGTAGAAGTTTGCAAACAGGACACCTAGGGGAGAACCCATGGCGTCCCCATCTACTTGCTTATACATGTGCCCATCCGGGCTCAAGAAGGGTGCCTCTTTAGTACAAGCTTGGAGTAGTTTCCTTAGGATATTTTCTGGCATGTCAAGAGGAGTACAGGCTGGATCACGATACACTCTGTCGGCTATCATCCCGATTGTCTCGTCCACTGGTACGTTAGTGAACAGCCGACAATCGGGATGATAGCCGACAGAGTGTATCGTGATCCAGCCTGTACTCCTCTTGACATGCCAGAAAATATCCTAAGGAAACTACTCCAAGCTTGTACTAAAGAGGCACCCTTCTTGAGCCCGGATGGGCACATGTATAAGCAAGTAGATGGGGACGCCATGGGTTCTCCCCTAGGTGTCCTGTTTGCAAACTTCTACATATGTACCATCGAGCAAAAAGTCTTAGTCGACATGAACATGAAACCGGCCATATACTGCAGGTATGTTGACGACATTTTTACACAGGTACCTGATGTCAGACATCTGCAGGAGTTGAAGGAGGCATTTGAGCGGAGTTCCGTGCTGCGTTTCACTTACGAGATGGAAAAGGATGGGAAGCTGCCCTTTCTAGATGTAACAGTCATGGAAAAGAGCGGTTTCCACTCTGCAGTCTACACTAAGGAAACGAACATAGGAATGTGCCTAAATGCCAAAAGCGACTGCCCAGATAGGTACAAGAGGAGTGTTGTTAACGCATATGTCGACCGTGCTCTCAGGCACAGCTCAGAATGGAAGCAAGTCGACGAAGAACTCTGTAGGGTAAGGCAGGTCCTAGTCAACAAAGGCTTCTCCAATGGTTTCGTTGAAGACATCATAAAAAGGAAAGTGAAAAGCCATGCAACCTCTGAAGAGACAACCAACACAACACCTATACCCCCTATTAGACTATTTTACAGGAATTTCTTTTCCACAGCTCATAAAACGGAGGAAAGGGTCCTGAAAGATATTGTTAATAGAAACGTTATCCCTACTGACAAAAATCAGAGGATACAACTGACGATTTACTATAAAACCAGAAAAACGGCCAGCCTACTCATGAGAAACTCTCCAGACACAAAACAGAACACTTTAAAAAAGACTAACGTCGTCTATGCCTTCAAATGCCCTCTTGGGGACTGTAAGCTCCAAAAAACCCAGTATATAGGCAAGACAACAACATCTCTTTCTAGGCGTTTAACGATGCATAAGCAACAGGGCTCCATTAAGGAACATATAATCTCTTCCCACAACCAAACCATCGCCAGAGAAATCCTAGTAAACAACACAGAAATCATCGATAGATACAACGATAGCAGGCGGCTTGACGTTTGCGAGGCATTACACATCAAGAAGTCAACACCAGCAATCAACAGCCAATTAATGCACAACTATATTCTACCCATCTCAAGACTCCGTTCCAATATAGAAGCATCAAGAAATATGGACCAATAGGCTTTCTGCAATCACTTCTATTCAATACCCATTGTTTCATGTTCTGGCTTCTGTTGATGAATTTAATACCTTATTAAATACCACCTCACCCCATCCACCTCACTCAAATGTAGATATAAACAAAATCGGAGATGTGTAAGTTCTATTCAGGTGTGTATGTGTTAACTAAAGTCTTTGAAAATGTAATAGGTTTTACGAAACGCGCTCAAGTGTCGCGTCAGACTAGAAATAAAATGAATTTTGGAGAAATTGACCTTTGAATTACCTCCAACAGTGAATAGAAATGTCACGAAAGATTGAAAAAATTCGCGTTAGAATTATTAATTCAGGACTTTTTCGGTCATATTTAGGCATATATGTCTACAGGAAAGACTGCTGAGAAGTGCGTTCTGGCTACTATGTATATTTATATATATATATATATATATATATATATATATATATATATATATATATCGTACCTAGTAGCCAGAACTCACTTCTCAGCCTACTATTCAAGGCCCGATATGCCTACATAAGCCATATATTTATATATATTATATATATATACTATATATTTTTTTCTTATGAAGTAGCCTGAACGCACTTCTCAGCCTACTATGCATGAGCCCAATTTTTTTAATAAGGAGTTTTCAAAATTAACTGTTTTTCGACTACCTAACCTGCCTAACCTAACCTAACCTAACTTTTTCCTACCTAACCTAACCTAACCTATAAAGATAGGTTAGGTTAGGTTAGGTAGCCAAAAAAAGCTAGGTTAGGTTCGGTCATATAGGTTAGGTTACGAAAAAACTCCAATCAAAAAAAATTGACCTCATAGGCAAATCGGGCCTTGAATAGTAGGCTAGCTTCTATCTATTTCATAAGACCATATAAATATAGATATATATATATACTATATATCAGGAATATACTATGTACTTATTAGGCATATATATATATATATTGCATAGTAGGCCGAGATATATGCGTTCTGGCTATATAGGTACATATATATATATATATATATATATATATATATATATATATATATATACATATATACTATATATATATATATATATATATATATATATATATATATATATATATATATATATATATATATATATATATATATAGGTGAACACTGCCATTAGGTGAAAAGAATGCCCGGTCATTTCTGTTTCGCTCGGGAATTTAACCCGGGATCCATGATTGGGAGTTGAGAACGAAGCCAACTCTGCTCCTCCTACTAGACCCAACATTTGCATTCTGCAGTTTTTTTTGAGTCACGGGGCCATAAAATGGACATAAATTTACTTGATCGCGTACAGAAAAGGAGGAGAAAATTTAATCCTAAGAATTAGTTTCCTCGCCTATAAAGAGAGATTAATTAAGCTTAATATAACATTCTCTAGAGAGACGAAGTAGTGACGACATGATTTGCGTATATAAAATGAATGAAAGAGTATATTATTATAGATATAAATATAGTTTTAAATATATCAACTATAGAAGTGAAACTCGAAACAGTGGATCAAAATATGAAAAGATTAGAGTCAGGGAAAAATCTGGGTAAATGCTGATATTGTTATCAGGATTGTTGAGTTAAGGTGCAACTAATATGGTAACAATAGACGTGTGAGCACTGGAGTGTTTCAAGCGTAGGTTAGACATATATATGATTTAGCATGAGTATACCCCGGATTAAAGTCTTTCTCGGTGACCCATAGACCTGGACCCAAGCCTCTCTGGGTGACCCATAGACCTGGACCCAAGCCTTTCTGGGTGACCCATAGACCTGGACCCAAGCCTCTCTGGGTGACCGATAGACCTGGACCCAAGCCTTTCTGGGTGACCCATAGACCTGGACCCAAGCCTCTCTGGGTGACCGATAGACCTTGACCGAAGCCTCTCTGGGTGACCCATAGACCTGGACCGAAGCCTCTCTGGGTGACCCATAGACCTGGACCCAAGCCTTTCTGGGTGACCCATAGACCTGGACCGAAGCCTCTCTGGGTGACCCATAGACCTGGACCCAAGCCTCTCTGGGTGACCCATAGACCTGGACCCAAACCTCTCTGGATGACCCATAGACCTGGACCCAAGCCTCTCTGGGTGACCCATAGACCTGGACCCAAGCCTCTCTGGGTGACCCATAGACCTGGACCGAAGCCTCTCTGGGTGACCCATAGACCTGGACCCAAGCCTCTCTGGGTGACCCATAGACCTGGACCCAAACCTCTCTGGGTGACCCATAGACCTGGACCCAACCCATAGACCTGGACCCAAGCCTCTCTGGGTGACCCATAGACCTGGACCCAAGCCTCTCTGGATGACCCATAGACCTGGACCCAAGCCTCTCTGGGTGACCCATAGACCTGGACCCAAGCCTCTCTGGGTGACCCATAGACCTGGACCCAAGCCTCTCTGGGTGACCCATAGACCTGGACCCAAGCCTCTCTGGGTAATACCCGGACCCAAGTTCTTCTGGATGAGACCCAGAACAAGTGAGGATTCCCTTTCTGACGAGCACCCTTGTCACATCTGTATCAAGAGATTAATCAATACTGCCACTCACACGTATTGATTTTCCACACTGTTATGGCCGACGACGGATATGTACATGGATTGCCCAAGTTAATAACCAGACTTGCCCATGCAACTATCTATGCTACTGACATATATTAATCACGGCCATATCAGGATTTATTTTAATAAAATATCAAATTTGAGAGCACTACTTGAGTCTTTCATAACCAAGGGTTGATATGACGATGTGTACTAATGACTTTAAACATTTCCTTCAACTACAAGTCCGTCCATCAACTGACCTATTCGAAAGTCGACCCTACAGGTGTAGTTGGCCTGGTCGGTGCTCAGGACTGGCTTGATGTGGAGTGCTGGCACCTGGCCCGGCCGGAAGGTGGCCCGACCCTCCAGGACCTTACTCTTGATGGTGTGGCGTTCCTCCGGTGCTTGTAGCCGGCCCGGCCTGTTGTCGTAACTGCGGGGGACATGTGAGGGCACATTACCAGGTGTTGTAAGTCGTTATTCTGGGGTTTTAAGGCAGACATATATCTGTTTAACTATATGTACAGCTGATATGTGGAGTTATAGTGTATTAAAGGGGTTATTAGGAATCTTTGTAGTGTTTACAGTTTATTCTGGTGCTTGTAGCCGGCCTAGCCGGTCGCAGAAACTGTGGAACAACTATATGGAGTTAGTAAATATTTTGTACCGTATTTTCCGGGCCAGTGGCCCCGTCGGGATCAAAGTGGGAGCGTTATTGGCTGGTGCGTTCCGCTCCTCTGGGGCCTGAAAGCGGCTGGCCAGACAGGAGAAAAGTAGCGAGGTTTCATCAAACTATTAAGTCTCGCTGTTGAACATTATTGCTGTAGTTCGGTCATTATGGCTATAGTGATTCCCTGGCGAATCACGAGAACAATTTGCTTGCTGAAAAATTCGGTTTTGTAACTTTTTGTTATTGAATTCTGTATTCAACTATTGTCCTCAACAAATAGCCCATTTCACAGCTACAGAAATTTTCTCGTGGCTCGACTCACTGAGGGTGACATGTGAAAAAACGAGCAACATGAGCAACAAGTTGAGATTTTCAGGAAATAAAAATATGATTTCTCTCGTCCGCAAAGCAGTCTTATGTGAACTGCTGATACGAGGAGGCTTAGCGCAAGGACCGTCGTGTAGGGGAGAGATAGGAGTGAAGAGCCTTAGAAAGAGGGTATAAAGTGACCAGCGGTAGAGAGGAGGAGAGATGATAAGAGTGAAGGGAGAGGGAGTTTGAGAGGAATATGCTTTTAAGCTTATCGGGGGAAGATCAGGGGAATACCAGAAGTTTCAGATTTCAGTGGAATATGTCAAGCTTCATGTTGAACGGAATATGAGATACTCTACATTCAAGGAGAGACGAGAAGCTTTAGTTCAACGGAAGAGGGGAAGCTTGGTGTTCAACGACAGATTTGAAGCTTTATGTTCAACGAAATATTTGAAGCTTTAGGTTTAACGGTAGAGGAGAAGCTCTATGGTCATTGGAAGATGAAAGATTTTACGATGATGGGAAAGTGGAATATGAATGAAAATAGTGAGGAAAGGTGAGAGACAAGATGAAGTGGGAGAGGAAAGGTGAGGCACAAGATGAAGAGTAAGAGGAAAGGTGAGAGAAAAGTTGAAATGGAGAGAGCAAAGGTGAGAGACAAGATGAAGGTTGAGAGGAGAGATGAGAGCCGAGATGTTGGATAAAGGGAAAGTTGAGAATGAGAAGAAGAGTGAGCATAAGGAAAAGGCGAGATAGAGAGGCGATGAATTAGGTTGACGAGGCAAGAATTTTTTTGAGTGTTGTCAGCAATGTTATAAGTACACTAGAGACTATCTGTCTATTTGTCTCTTTAACCTAACCCAAATTGGCAGGAAGAAGAGTCCGGGGTACAGGACGGACATAGGCTGGTTGGGGTAGGCCTACGTCAAACACGTTAAAAAATATTAGCAATCATAAACACCCATAGACCATTTTCAGGGCGTTAAGTTAAATTTGGTGCTTGATTGCCATGGAGGGTGTTACTGAAAAGAAACAAGAATAGAAAGGAGAAGAGAAGAGAAAGAAAAAAGAAGACAGGGGCATCTTTATCTCATAAAGTAAAGGCATCTCCTCTTAACGGGGGCCTGACGGCTGAGTGGGCAACGCTCGGTGTTCGTAATCCTAAAGATCCGTCTACGATCCCCCGGCAGGAGAGGAAACAAATGGGCAGAGTTTCTTGAACCTTGATGCTTCACCTAACAGTAAGTAGATACCTGGGAGTTAAACAGCTACTATGGGCTGCTTCCTGGGAATCTGTGTGTGAAAATAAGGATTAAGAGACAGACAGACAGACAGATAGACAGACAGACAGACCTGAGGAAAACTGGGTACCTCCCTTTAATCATCAAAATGTTGCAAAGTAATTGTTGGGGGTCAAGCTTGTTCAAGTTGGGAGGAAAGAAATATGTTGATTCTTTATATATGTTACATCCCAAGGTGGAGGTGTTTACTCTCCAGTAAGGCTTACACATCCCAAGGTGGAGGTGTTTACTCTCCAGTAAGGCTTACACATCCCAAGGTGGAGGTGTTTACTATCCAGTAAGGCTTACACATCCCAAGGTGGAGGTGTTTACTCTCCAGTAAGGCTTACACATCCCAAGGTGGAGGTGTTTACTATCCAGTAAGGCTTACACATCCCAAGGTGGAGGTGTTTACTATCCAGTAAGGCTTACACATCCCAAGGTGGAGGTGTTTACTATCCAGTAAGGCTTACACATCCCAAGGTGTAGGTGTTTACTCTCCAGTAAGGCTTACACATCCCAAGGTGGAGGTGTTTACTCTCCAGTAAGGCTTACACATCGCAAGGTGGAGGTGTTTACTATCCAGTAAGGCTTACACATCCCAAGGTGGAGGTGTTTACTCTCCAGTAAGGCTTACACATCCCAAGGTGGAGGTGTTTACTCTCCAGTAAGGCTTACACATCGCAAGGTGGAGGTGTTTACTATCCAGTAAGGCTTACACATCCCAAGGTGGAGGTGTTTACTATCCAGTAAGGCTTACACATCCCAAGGTGGAGGTGTTTACTCTCCAGTAAGGCTTACACATCCCAAGGTGGAGGTGTTTACTCTCCAGTAAGGCTTACACATCGCAAGGTGGAGGTGTTTACTCTCCAGTAAGGCTTACACATCGCAAGGTGGAGGTGTTTACTCTCCAGTAAGGCTTACACATCCCAAGGTGGAGGTGTTTACTCTCCAGTAAAGCTCCAGTACATCCCAAGGAGCCGCTCATAACTCCACCCACCAAGAAGTCATGTACCAGGGAAATGCTCACAGCAAATCAGGAGAAGAAAAGGGGAAGGTTATTGGTGAGGTGCTGGGAGAGAGGGAGGGAGGGGGGAGGGCTGGTGGTGAGGTGCTGGGAGAGAGGGAGGGAGAGGGGAGGGCTGGTGGTGAGGTGGTGGGAGAGAGAGAGGGAGAGGGGAGGGCTGGTGGTGAGGTGCTGGGAGAGAGGGAGGGAGAGGGGGAGGGCTGGTGGTGAGGTGCTGGGAGAGAGGGAGGGAGGGGGGAGGGCTGGTGGTGAGGTGCTGGGAGAGAGAGAGAGGGAGAGGGGAGGGCTGGGGGTGAGGTGCTGGGAGAGAGGGAGGGAGAGGGGAGGGCTGGTGGTGAGGTGCTGGGAGAGAGGGAGGGAGAGGGGAGGGCTGGTGGTGAGGTGCTGGGAGAGAAGGAGGGAGAAGGGAGGGCTGGTGGTGAGGTGCTGGGAAAGAAGGAGGGAGGGAGGGAGGGAGAGAGGGAGACGGCCGGGGGTGAGGTGCTGGTAGAGAGGGAGGGAGAGGAGAGGACTGGGGTGAGGTGCTGGGAGAGAGGGAGGGAGAGGGGAGGGCTGGTGGTGAGGTGCTGGGAGAGAGGGAGGGAGGGAGGGAGGGAGAGGGCTGGTGGTGAGGTGCTGGGAGAGAGGGAGGGAGAGAGGGAGGGAGAGAGGGAGGAAGGGAGAGGGCTGGTGGTGAGAGACTATCAACAAGGGGCAAGAGGGAGCCAGGGAGAGGGCAAGAAGAAACAAATCCTAAAAGATATCGTGGAAAGTGCTGTAGGGCTGCCAAATGCTGTGGGTGGCGTGCAGGCTGTGGGTGGCGTGTATGCTGTGGGTGGCGTGCATGTTATGGGTGGCGTGCAGGCTGTGGGTGGCGTGCAGGCTGTGGGTGATGTGCATGATGTGGGTGGCGTGCATGCTGTGGGTGGCGTGCAGGATGTGGGTGGCGTGCAGGCTGTGGGGTGGCATGCAGGCTGTGCGTGGCGTGCAGGCTGTGGGTGGGGTGCAGGCTGTAGGTGGCGTACATGCTGTGGTTGGGGTGCAGGCTGTGGGTGGCGTGCAGGCTAAGGGTTGCGTGCAGGCTGTGGGTAGCGTGCAGGCTGTGGGTGGCGTACAGGCTGTGGGTGGCGTGCAGGCTGTGGGTGGCGTGCAGGCTGTGGGTGGCGTGCAGGCTGTGGGTGGCGTGCAGGCTGAGGGTAGCACGCAGGCTGTGGGTGGCGTGCAGGCTGAGGGGGGCGTGAAGGCTGTGGGTGGCGTGCAGGCTGTGGGTGGCGTGCAGGCTGTTGGTGGCGTACAGGCTGTGGGTGGCGTAAAGGCTGTGGGTAGCGTGCAGGCTGTGGGTGGCGTGCAGGCTGAGGGTGGCCTGCAGACTGTGTTTGGCGTGCAACCGGTGGGTGGTTTGCAGGCTGTGGGTGGCGTGCAGGCTGTGGGTGATGTGCATGATGTGGGTGGCGTGCATGCTGTGGGTGGCGTGCAGGATGTGGGTGGCGTGCAGGCTGTGGGGTGGCATGCAGGCTGTGCGTGGCGTGCAGGCTGTGGGTGGGGTGCAGGCTGTAGGTGGCGTACATGCTGTGGGTGGGGTGCAGGCTGTGGGTGGCGTGCAGGCTAAGGGTTGCGTGCAGGCTGTGGGTAGCGTGCAGGCTGTGGGTGGCGTACAGGCTGTGGGTGGCGTGCAGGCTGAGGGTAGCATGCAGGCTGTGGGTGGCGTGCAGGCTGAGGGGGGCGTGCAGGCTGTGGGTGGCGTGCAGGCTGTGGGTGGCGTGCAGGCTGTGGGTGGCGTACAGGCTGTGGGTGGCGTAAAGGCTGTGGGTAGCGTGCAGGCTGTGGGTGGCGTGCAGGCTGAGGGTGGCCTGCAGACTGTGTTTGGCGTGCAACCGGTGGGTGGTTTGCAGGATGTGGGTGGCGTACAGGCTGTGGGTGGCGTGCAGGCTGTGGGTGGCGTACAGACTGTTGGTGGCGTGCAGGCTGTGGGTGGCGTGCAGGCTGTGGGTGGCGTGCAGGCTGTGTGTGTCGTGTAGGGTGTGGGTGGCGTGTAAGCTGTGGGTGGCGTGTAGGTTTTGGGTGAGGTGCAGGCTGTGGATGGCGTGCATGCTGTGGGTGTCGTACAGGCTGCAGGGGGGGGGTTAGTGAAGGCTGTGGGGGCGTACATGCTGTGG